CTCTTAAGAAAAATGAACTAATATCGTGACAAACAGAAACGCACACATACAGACAAACTTAGCTCTTTATTTGCTAGTACTAATAGTATGCATGTGGGGCTATCACTCTTATCCCTCCACTTTTAGTGTATCATACAGTCTTTTGCTTGAATCTTGCGAGTGAACGAGAGTTCTTTAAATCGTTACTTTTTTTTTAGAAAGAAACAAATAAGCGGATAAATGAATTGATGAAGTAGAGGGTGAGAGCCCAAGGCAGCCTAGTCAATCCTAGAATGGATTATGCCAAGTTTGAATCTCGGAAAGTCAAACCAAATTTTAGTTTCAGAACATATCTCTAGTTGACAAATCCTGACCTGCGTTGGTTGTATAGCGGATTTCGACAATCGAGATGTTGAATACTGTTTCTGAGCATTCGTCGCGTTTAAAGCTAATCATAGCAGACTTGCTCATGGTCAAGCGTGGGAGAGGTAATGGAAGCGCCGAAAAGTTGCGAGCTACTTCGGGATTTATCTTTCGGCCTCAAGTACATAAAGACAGCTAAAAGTAACGCTTTGAATGACTTAAGAACTTTCGTCAAGTGTGAACGATAATATTAATGCACACACGGGATAGATTTGCCCTACAATTATACTGCTCTGGCTGTACTTCTAATCCATATGATCAAAATCTCACTTTAACTTAGTTCCACTCACAAGCTAAAATATATTGATTGTATCTATGATCTGATGGTAGGTGATAATGATATTTGTCTCATTCTGACAAAAGGGATTGGGTCGACGTGGCAAATCAGGATATCACGCCACAAACAACATACTATGATATAAAATAGCCTTTGTCACTTGCCCGGTCCCGAAATGTACAAATCTTTAATAAGTTTGGGCCTTATCGGTTTAGAAAAAAAGTGTATTCAGCATACATACTCAAACACATACATCTATACGTACTACAAACTTTCAGCTTTGCATATATAATGTTGTAAGTCGGCTAATCCTCCTATCAACACTTCGTGCTCCTCTCCATTGATGTAGGTCTATTCTTATTCTTTTTCTCATTAACCTGTAACTTTCCAGAGTCATGGATTCCCCGCAAATCATGGTGAATTACTTAATGCATGTAGTATTGCGCACATTGTGCTTGTAGTCGATGCCTATCTGTAGATCACTTGTTGTTGTGGTTGTTTGCTTGTGCTGTTTAAGTTTCTAGCAGTAAACGCTTCTTAAAAAAATCAACATCATATTCAGTCGTTGGATTGGC